GCAACTTCGGAACTTCGGCAACTTCGGCACTTCGACACTTCAGACCTTTGGAATTTCAGGACTTCGGCACTTCTCTTGCAGCCGCTTAGTAGATAACTCCCTAATTCCCACGGTATCAGGGAGTTATCTACCAATAGGCTGAAAGACCTAAATTGGTCTTTCAGCCAAAGTTACTAATACTAAGTAAAAATTACTATATCTATTAAACAATGAGCAGCCTGTGGTCCCTGATTAAGTAACCAATCAGAGAGTTATGGGTCAAATTACACAACATGGGAAAATTCCAAAGAGCTGTAAAATGACATAGAGCACTCTGATTGGTGGATTACAAACCAACCAATCAGAGCGATGTGACAGGTAAATGTAGAGACTTAGCTGTCAGTCTCTTCATTTACCTGTCAGAGCACTCTGATTGGATGGCTTAAACCCACCAATCAGAGTGCTCTGAGCCTAATTGCAGGGTGGGGCAAGGCTTTATAAGCCTTCCCCCGCCCTGCAGAGCTCAGTCTGCGTGAAGCCCTCGCCAGGTGAAGATGGATTTTTTTTATTTTTTTTTAATTGCGTCGGTTATTGTGTTTTTTTTATTTGTCCATTTTTGGGGCTGATAAAAGAAGATTTTAGAAGAAAGAAAACATTGAATGGTAAGTTTTATTTTTTTTTACAGGTACTTAGTTAAAGGTCCCCCCCCTCAATATTTTTAGAGTGAGGGGGTAGGTAGGGGGATAATTTGTTTTGGGGGGGAAGGGGTGACTAGGGTTTGGGGACCCCTAGTCACCTGGGGGGGACAGTTTTTTTAGGGCCCTTACCCGCCACTCAGGGGTGGGGGCCGGGGGGGAGGACATTGGGTCCCACCCCTTATTAGTGTTTAGGGCCCCCACCCACTGCTGAAGGGTGGGGGCCAAGGGGAGGACATTAGGTCCCCCTTATTATAATTTAGGGCCCCCACCCACCGCTCAGGGGTGGGGGACAGGGGGGAGGACATTAGGTTCTCCCCCTTATTTTACTGTAGGGCCCCCACCCTCTGCTCAGGGGTGGGGGCCATGGGGGAGGACTTTAGGCCCCCCACTTATTAGTATTTAGGGCCCCCCTATTACATTAGGTCCCCCCTTATTCCAATTTAGGCCCCCACCCACCACTCAGGGGTGGGGGCCAGGGGGAGGACATCAGCCCCCCCCCCCTTATTAGTATTTAGGGCCCCCACCCACCGCTCAGGGGTGGGGGCCAGGGGGGAGGACATTAGGTTCTCCCCCTTATTTTACTGTAGGGCCCCCACCCACTGCTCAGGGATGGGGGTCAGGGGGGAGGACATTAGGTCCCCCCCTTATTAGTATTTAGGGCCCCCACCCACCGCTCAGTGATGGGGGCCAGGTAGAGGACATTAGGTCCCCCCCTTATTACAATTTAGGGCCCCCACCCACCGCTCAGGGTTGGGGGCCAAGGGGGAGGACATTAAGTCCCCCCCTTATTTTACTGTAGAGCCCCCACCCAAAAGGTTTAAAAGCCCCCACTCGTGTGTCATGGGTGGGGGCTCGGGAGGCTGCTCACTGTTTAATAGGCATGCCCCTGATTTAGATCAAAGCAAACTTTGATTATTTGTCTATCTACTCCTTTCAAATTGATGAATTAATGCGTGCACCCTCTTCCTAGAAGTAGTTCACACCGGAGACAAAGTTTCTGATTAGTCAAAAACCTGAGGAATCCTTTATTCCCCGGAGTGGGAGCCCCTTTTAAAGCAGGAATATGTCATGTACAGAGTCACAGTTAACATACAGTATTCATTCAACAACTGGTTAACAGTCTAAGGGGTATTGTCTAAACCCCCCCCTACAGGATGTAATGTCGTTATTACAGAGTTCTCCCACCCATATTCCAGCTCCATTTTGGTTACACGATGGGAGGGGGAGTGAGTAGTAGTTACTGAACAGAGAGGGGCTGAAGGGGAAACAGTTACTTTAACAGTGATTCTCCATTTTGTTACACGTGGCACATAGCTGTTAACTTGCACAAAGGAAGTGGGGGAGGAGTTTCATAAAGGAAGCTGTTTTAACACAGGAATTTGTTACACGAGGCTTGCTCGATGCGAAGGGGGGAGGGTAGCAGGATGGGAGGAATTTGCAGAGAAAATAGTTACTGAGCACACTGTAGGGGGGAAAGAGAGGGTTTACTCTAGATGCCAGTTTAACATAGTGAACACAGAATAAATAGACATTAGTAAATAGCCATTTTATTTTAAATCTTATGTCCATAACAACCCTACTTGCGGTATAGCGAGTAGGTAGCGAGTATGGGCATAATTTACTAATACTAAGTAATTTTTACTTAGTATTAGTAAATTTGGCTGAAAGACCAATTTAGGTCTTTCAACCTTTTAGTAGATAGCTCCCCAGTACCATGGGAATAAGGGAGTTATCTACTTATTCATTCCTGTCATTACATTGACTGACCAAGTAACTTACATTTTATATGAATGTATGTTGCTTGATTGTTGTAAGTGTTGCAAATGCTTACAGCTGAATCCTGGCTATGTTTGTATACTTTTTATTTAAAATTGCATACAATGTAACATTCTTCTTCTTTCACTGGGTAAGTATATTAGTACTTAGTCAATACTGTGCTTCGGAACTTCGGTACTTTGACACTTCAGAACTTCGGCAACTTCGGAACTTCGGCACTTCAGCACTTCGGAACTTCGGCACTTCGGTAATTCAGTAATTTCAGAACTTCGGGATCTCAGCAATTCAGCACCTCGGACATTCGAAAGTAACCGAATGTCCGAATTGTCCGAAATTAGCCCGAATTCATATCGAAACAAATTGCACATGTCTAGTGTACACACTAATAGTAGCAAAACCAAGAATCAACTACTGGATGGTATTGGAAAGATCTAACCACTCTTGTTATTAAAGAAAGTCCTGGATGTGATATCGTTGCTGAGTGTAATGGCTTGTCTAAGCCTGCACAGTGATTCTCCATTTTGTTACACGTGGCACATAGCTGTTAACTTGCACAAAGGAAGTGGGGGAGGAGTTTCATAAAGGAAGCTGTTCTTTTAACACAGGAATTTGTTACAAGAGGCTTGCTCGATGGGAAGGGGGGAGGGTAGCAGGATGGGAGGAATTTGCAGAGAAAATAGTTACTGAGCACACTGTAGGGGGGAAAGAGAGGGTTTACTCTAGATGCCAATTTAACATAGTGAACACAGAATAAATAGACATTAGTAAATAGCCATTTTATTTTAAATCTTATGTCCTTAACAACTCTACTTGCGGTATAGCGAGTAGGGGCATAATTTACTAATACTAAGTAAAGATTACTTAGTATTAGTAAATTATGCCCCCCTCTTGCGTTCCTGTGTGGATCTGGATAGCTGCTCTTTCGTGTAGGTCACAGTGATCACTTGTTCTGCCTTGTAGTGCATGGGGTGCCTGGGCTCTCTCTCTTATTGTAGATGGGGACCTGATTTGTCCCTTTGAAGGCCCTCTAGTGGATGCTTGTTTTTGCTACTTCTAGTGTGTACACACTGGGACTGTATATACTTTTTTTATTTTTTGTCATTATTTTGCACTTTTACTTGTTTTTTCATTTATTCAATTTTGAATTTTTTAAAAAATGTTTTCCTTTTTTTATTTTCTGCCAAGTAGACAACAATTGTTGATTATATAGAGGGCTCTCATTCATATAGTGTTTATTCCCACAATTAATAATGACACAGAGTCCTTTGTGATTGGGGATATTTTTGTAGCGGAGACCTAGTTTCCCATAGAGTTCTCCTCTGGTATTAGAACAGTGAAGCAGGAACAAGAAGTTAACCCAAGATAAACAGCATCAATGATAATAAAATAATCCAGTAATATCCCATCACGATTCCCAATAACTGGACAACACAAAGTATCAGGAGCAGAACTGATCTTTTATTCCACATACCCTGCTTGTATCCATCTCTCCCATGCAAGGGAGACACCCACAGTAATTAGTACAGTAACCAATCATTTACATGTTTCCTCTCACACATCTCCTCCCCTCAGCTTAACAGATAATTCACGCATACAGTACATGGTTTTCCCCTGTTTTTGGATGTTACACTCCTAAAGTTGGTATCCCCTGATAGCCCTGATCTGTGTGAATGAAATATAAAAAAATCACCCAGAATGGACCAGGGGTTTGGGAGTTAGTTGGAAGTGTTTGTTTGACCGACTGCACACGAGGCAGTAGCCGAAATCAGTTCCATACATTTTGGCCTTGCGGTTGGTCTTTGTTCGTGGGGTAAAATGTAAAGAAAATCTTTGACATCCATGGCTGTACTGACGTTCGTATGAATCCCCCTGTTCGTGGGATACATTTAGCCGAACGGCGGGCTGTTCGTATGTTTGGTTCGGCAATTATGGAACTCTGGAGGTCTTAGCGGTGTTCGCATAGTCAAGTGTCCGATTTGAGTTCCAGACAATCGACGATCAAACACTGCTGGGCATTCCTATGGCAAGATGGCCGCCGCCACGTGTTCGTATGCCGAACAGCGGCCATTCAGGGAACACACACAGAGCATTTGTCTAATTGCTAATTACACTGCGGTTAGCACCGATCGGGGAGGTAAACTAGAGGCACACTTCTCTATGGGGTGGTCTGATTGTTTAGTAGTTTGTTTGTATGACGGAGTGGTTTTATCAAACAATCAGTCGAATGCTTCATACAATACATGTATGTAGAAAACAAATTAAATGAAAATTACCTTATAACAAGAATATTTAAAGACAGCCCGACACAATCTGCTACAATTTTATTTATTTATCTTGTGTTGTTCAGGCATATCACCTAAGGTGTTACACGGTTATGATAACATAGGTACAACATAAGAAGCCATTTGTAATCTATCATACATGCCATATTTGTATACTCCACTGATTTAAAGAAATATCTGACTGAAAATAGGCAGAACAATAAATAATAATGTCATAGGCGTGCGCAGCCTATTGCATTAGGGTGTGCACCCTAAAGCACAAACACACGCCGTGTGTGTGTGTGTGTGTGTATGTATCTATCTATATAAAAATATATATATATATATATATATATATATGATATAGAGATATATACACACACACACACACACACATACACTGCTGTGTGTGCTGTTAGTGTGCTGTTAGTGTGATGTGTGTGTGAGGGTGCTGTTAGTGTGATGTGAGGGTGTTTGTGTGTGTGTGACTGTGCTGTTTGTGTGTGTGTATGTTTGTCCTGTGAGGGTGCTGTTTGTGTGAGTGTCGTGTATTTGTGAGGGTGCTGTTTGTGTGTGTTTGTGAGGGTGCTGTTAGTGTGCTGTGTGTGAGGGTGTTGTGTTTTTTTTAAAGGTGCTGTGTGTGTTTGTGAGGGTGCGGTTAGTGTACTGTGTGTGTGTGAGCTGTATGTGTGTAGGTGCTGTATGTGTGTGTGGTGTATGTTTGGAGGGATTTGGCAGATTAGTAAATCCTTGCTGCCATGTGCCATCCCTGGTGGTCCAGTGGAGAGTGAACTCTAGCCTGTGGGGCTAGAGTTAACTCTCGCGAGATCTGAGCATTGCCGCAGCAACACTCAGATATCGTGAGAGGAACCTGGCAGAGCTTCTGTCTAGAGCTCCCTGGGTCCTCTCCTGCCTCCCTCCATGCTGCTGTGGGCCGGTGAGGTAGATCTTTGGTCTCCCTGCCGGCCCATGGAGGCTTAGAGCAGAGCCGGCACTCAGATAGCGCCGGCTCTGCGTGTGTGTGTGTGTATGTATATATATATGCGTACACACACACACTCACAGACACATTCAGACACACACATATACATACACTCACAGACACACACACACATTCACAGACACACACTCACACAGACACACACACTCACTCACACACACTCACTGACACACACACTCACTCACACACAGACACACACACTTACACACAGACATGCACACACTCACACACAGACAGACACACACAAGAACAAACTATTACATTTTAATTTACCTGGAGTGCTGGCGTGGACTTTTCCCTGGGGTCCAGTGGGGCGGGCGCCTCTCTGCAGCGAGAGGGAGCAGAGAGCAGAGAGCAGACAGCTCCCTCGCCGCGGCTGAGCTGCAGAGAGTGGGGGATCCATCACCTCAGGGGCAAGAGATGAAACAGGGGGCGCTGAGTGCCTGCAGGAACAGCGTTCCTGCTCAAAAAAAGTGCAGGAATGCTGTTCCTGCAGGACTCAAACCATAGGCATGCCACGGGGATTAGGGTGTGCCCAGGCACACCCGGCACTAGCCGTGCGCACGCCTATGAATAATGTTTGCTTTATATCTAATATTGAGTGCAGTATCATATGTTCAATTAAATATATTGAAGGTAATTGCTGTGGGCCACCTTGATACATAGCATCAGTAAGGATAGAAGAGTGACTGTACACATCAAATCTTTTTTAATTAAGTTAAATGTTGTTTTGGTGACTATAGTGTATTTTTAAGATGTAAAAAAAATCTACTATTTACAAAATATACCAATATAACAAGAATATCAAAATATGAAATTGTAGCCTATTAGGTTCCTAATGAAGTCAGTCTAATATGGCAGCCTGCTCAAGCCCAACTTTTTAAAAATTAGAACGTTTGTATTTTTATTTTACAAACATGTTCTAACTTGAAACTATGGCCTAAATTAGTAATGAGTTTAATCATAATTAGAAATTATTCCAATCTGTTGGAAACAAAAAAACATTTTCAAATTATTTATTTAGAGATGTCACCATTTCATTTTATGGTAATTTCTGTAGTTAAAGCATTTGTAAATCTTTCTCTAACAGTATGAAATAATTATAAATTCTGATTAAAACATTTTACATTGAGACCTTTATTTGTAATTTTTTGTATTTGGAAGACAGCTATACATTCAATATGATAAGGCTGGCTTAACATTTCAAGTCTAGGTTTCTTATTTCCAATGTGGCGCATGCATGTACTCTCCCAGAATCTAGAACTCCCTACATGTGGATGTCCAGGATGCAGTCACTCTCTGTGCTCATAGTTAGATGCAAAACACAATTTATCATTATGGTCTTTCCCTGGAAGAATAACAGAATGATGTTAGATGAAGAATATCTGACAAGACTATTAAATACAGTTTAAAAAACAAACTAAAAAATTTTCTTATCAAAACTGATGATAGTGATTGGAAATTATAATCAAGGTATTTTCAAGAAATGACTCCATCTCTGAACCTGCAGACGTTGACCACATTGCTTCAGCTTCTAATGGAGCAGTTCCCAATGTTCTCAAGCCAGTGACAGGAAAAAGGGGCAGGAGCTATACTTTTCCCAATTTCTTGAAGATTTGAAGTGTTATAACAATATGTTCAATAACCAATCAAGATTGTTTGTGAAACCCCTACCATTGGTGTTTTTGTTGTTGACGTGGCTAATTTTGGATAATCTGACTTTATTATTGGCCTTTTTGTGGACAGATCTCTTTTATGAAGTATGAGCATAATCTACCAAGACTAAATATTTAATAGGCTGGCACGTTTGGATTAATCGGG